ATAACATTTTAATCTCTTGACCAGTTTGAAAAAAAGCCTGACAAAAAAGGAGCAGCTTAGAAACACTGAGCTCCTGTGAGTTTTACAAAAATCAGCAGCCAGACAGAGGAGACTCAGATTTGTGTGCCCAGTAAAGAACAGGTGGATGTGTGAACTCAGCTGCATTATTTGACACAAGAGAATCCAAAGCTGTCATCAAAAAGCAGGCTCCATAAGGTTTGCTGTCAATAGAACTGCTTGTTTGTCATTTAGAGGCAGGGGCATTTTTTGCTTGTTTGTTTGTTTGTTTTAAATAAAATATACTTAATAGAAGCCCAAGACGTCTGCCTGAGATGATTTTTAAAATGTTTGTTGCTGCAGAATATTGGCATTCATTATAAAATTATTTGTAATACCAGATCTTGTAATGCCTACCTGAAATGCCTACCTGAAATGCCTACCTGAAATGAAATCCCTTTGGGAAAGTATTTTCTCTCTGCCGTGGAAAGGATATTTCCATTTCTCCTCATGCCAAAGCTAGCTCTGACCCTTTTCTCTTTCTTAAAGTACTGTGGTGCCACCAAACTTAAAGAAATGAAAAGTCATGAGTCAGATGCCCAAAAAATGCCTACTCTTGAAAATTATGATATGTTGATAAAATATATTTTCCTTTGGTTTTGGTCAGTCTTTGAAATTTTTAAAATCCTTCAACTTCTTGAGAGAGAGAATTCACAGTGTTCTACTTTCATTAACATATTGTAAGAAATTACTTTGAGCCCTTGGTGCTACAGGATCTTTTATCTTTCATGGCTGTCCCTTAAATGGCAAACCCACTGAGACTGAAAACTCCACAGCTTTCACATCCCCAGTCTTCCATCAGTCTGAGAAAGAGCACCGCTCTTCTAGACAAGGAACCTACAGGAAAACCCTCTGAATGGTTTCTTTCTTCTTTAGTTTGCCTCATGCAAGGAAACAATCATGATTGCTTACAGGTAGTGAAAAAGGGAGTATTGATGGAACTGAGAAATTTAGAATGTGGCATTTGGTCAATACAAAAAGAAGATATGGGGGAGAAGGAAGGTTCCTAAGATTGAGGGGAGGTCTGGAATCATAAAGAAATATGCATTTGTCATGCAAAGGGCATATGTTATGATGCCCTATGCATGACAACAAGTGAACATTTGTTGTTATGAACTGAGAAGAAAAGGTCATGGATTCCATTATAATGATTGGCGGTTGAAGTTTAGGAAAGTAATTTACCTGATATGTTACAATAGCTATATTGATATTCCATTTCTAGATTTCACAGCAGTCTGCTCTAGACAGGACTGCAGAGGAACTGATCTAATAGAATGCCTGTCAGGGACAAGACTTTGGATGTTACTAGACAAGGGTAACTCGTACTAACCAGGCAATGAAATTCTCTTGAAGGCTCTCATGTATCATTCCAACTTTGGAATATAATATATTGAACTACACTAGACTTTCCACACACTGTTGATTGGACAACAGTGTAAGATGTTTCATCATTACAAAAGAAATGTGTTCAAATCAGAAAATGACCACTTATAGTTGGAAATACTGTTAATAAGAGCTCAGACCCTTCATGCAGACCTGTCAAAAAATGAGATGACTTTTATGGTTTCTTCTTTATTTCTCGCTAATTAATTCTACTGCTTTTGTGCCAAAATAATACAAAATAATTTGCTCTGTCTAGGACTTTTTAGACAAAAGGAAAAACATTGCCAAAAGCCTAAGAGAGGTGAACCTTCCCATCTGCTCAACACTGTTAAAGCCACATCTGGAGTGACAATTCTAGCTTATTGCTCCCTGACACAAGAAAGACATGGACATAGAACAGCTAGTCAAGTGAAGGGCAAGGAAGATAGTTTAGGAATTGGAGCATGTCATATAAGGAAAGGCTGAGTGATGGAACTAGTTAGCCTAGAGAACAGAAGGCTGAGGCATCTTATAGGAGTGAGTAAATATCTGATGGGAGGGTGTAAGCAAGACTCAGTCAGGCTCTTTTCAGCAGTGCCCAGTGACAGAGCAAGTGGCAATGGGCAGAAACTGAAATACAGGGGGTCTTGTCTGAACACAAGAAAACACTTTTTTACTATGCAGATGACTAAGCACTGGCACAGGCAGCCCAGAGAGGCTGTGGAGTCCCCATCCTTGGAGAGACTCAAGGCCATCTGGATGAGTCCTTAGCAACCTGCTCTAGCTGACCCTGCTTGACCAGGTTGGCTGGACCAGATGTCCTCCAGTGGTGCCTTCCAATCTAAATGTTTCTGTGATTATGTGCTTTTCAGCAAAACAGTTCTTGTCACAATATTGGCTTGGTGCAAGTCTACACTCCAACTCCCATAACTTTTGAAACCTGTATTCTGCAAGAGTTTTCAGCTTTCCCTTTTAAGTTATAAGAAACTATATAAAGGAACCTATATTCTTTGTATTCACTTTGTATTTTCCACAGAGCATTAAGATTTCACGTGCTTGACCCAGTATAAAGCAATTAACACAAATACAGAACAGATATAAATAACTGTGTCAGTAATTAATAAGCAGAAAGTTGAGCAGGAAAACCTCATGTAATATTTTCTTCATAAAATTATCTTGGAGACACTTGCATCTTACAGTCTTAGACCTCTTATATTTTTGTTAGTTTGTGCTTAAAGCTGTGATTCTTGAACACTAAGGCCATTGCTCTAGTGAATGCAGTTACTTGAGCTACATCCTTTACTTGGCATATGCGGGACCCCCCAAATTATCTTTGGGGGGGTTGAGTATTATTGACTCATGTATTGACTATTATGGACTACCTATGTATACCTCTAACAACACGATTATTACACCTAGTAGTACCCTTCCAGTCATGTTTTAGTTATTTCTGATACTAAACATATGGTGGTACTTCACCTTCTCCTCAGCATCTTATTTTTTTCAGTCTTGCTTCCTTTAGTGGAAGCTTCCTTTGCTTCCTTGAAGTGGCTGCTTGTTGTTAATGAATGGATAAATTCTTCAGCACCAGCCTGTTACATGAAGGCTATCTTCCCTGCTGGTCACAGATGGTGGGAAGTGATTTTATTGATTTGTTAGTACTTAGCTACAAGGATTACATCTAGCAGTAATAATGTGGCCAGGCCCTGGGACAAATCACCACACAAGTTAGTAGAGGGTTTGTGTCTTAAACTGAGTGTGACATTATTATATTTACCAGCCTTTCACAGTGCTTTGCTTATTAACACCACTGTAATCTCTTCTGAGCCATCTGTCGGTCATTCAAGTTTCTGTTTCCTTCATGTGCTGGAAAAGTTGGGAGACTTTGGTTTCTGAACTGAACTTGGACATTGTTCTACTAAAGTTCTGGTGGTAACCAGAGTGCTTATTAAGTTTTTTCTTTATAATTTGTGTTATCAAAATTGTGTCCTGCAGAAATCTCTTGGGGGGACACAGGCAGATGGCCACAGTAATTCCTCTCAAATTCAAAGGGTCATGAAGGTTCATGGCTTTCAGAATTTGTGTGAGAGGTGTTAGTGTGGCTGGGAGAAATCTGGTCCCTCTTCCTATTCTAAACCTGGCAAATTTGGCAGAAAGAAGCATTGAACACTGCCAGCATAGATTTTTTTTCTTTTTGGTTTGTGCTCATCAGATGATCTCTCTAGAAACCAGAGCTGTTTCCATGCTGTGACCTCAGCAGAAGCACAACTGAGAGGTTTTAAGTATCAGCATCTGTTAGCAGTAGCTCACATTTTACCTGAAAGTGCAGTGTTCTCTGTATTTTAAGTTTGCATTTCTAAGTAGCCTGAATGATTTCATTCACTGACAGGCACATGTGTGACTGGAGGACACTTCAGAGCTAGAGGCATGAGCTTTTGGCCAGTGGATTACATGGGATGATCTCCTGTAGAGAAAAGCTGTTGCATTCATTACCAGCTCCTCAAAATGAAGTTACTCAGAGCTAGTAGACCAGAAACTGGCAGGGAAGCGATTTCTGGACATGACGTTTTGTTTCACTGTGCGCTAATTCCTCAGTTGAGCAGTCGGCACCATGACATGTTTCATTGCCAGTATTGGTGGGTCAAAGTAGTTAAAAAATGGGTCTGATCCATAAGAGCACTTGTCACCCGCATGGGATGAGTGTGTAGACCATGGCATGGGTGGCACTGACGGGATTTAAGAAGCGTATGAAGAAAGTGCTGAAGCGTGGGACTCTGAGGAAGGCAGGGTCGAGCGGTGACAGCGCTGGCAGAAGGCAAGAGGGCTGCAGCTGGGGCCAGCACGGCTCACGCCCGAGGGAGCGCCGGCAGCACTGGGAGCCCGAGGCTTCCCGGCGCCCCGGCCAGCCCCGCAGCAAACCCGCACCCGCCTCCCACGGGTGGCCCTGCCTCGGGCGAGCCTGCAGCCCTGGCGGGAACCGGGGCGAGCACCTGCGGTGAGGAAACCTGGAGGAGGACGTGAGGAGGGCGGCGGTTCCGGGGCCAGCGCCGCGGCCGTGTGGCCGCTGGGCCAGCCCGGGGAGCGGCGGGGAGAGAGAGGCGCGGCCGGCCCGGGTGCCCGGCGCGGGCAGGGGCAGAGGCAGCGGCGCCGCGCCTCGGACTCCGCCTCACCGGCACCGAGCTCCCCTCCCTCCCTCTCTCGCTCGCTCCCTCCTCCAGCGCCAGGCTCGCAGCGGCGGAGCATCGCGGAGGCAGCACCCGCCCTTCCCGGCCGGCCGGCGGCGCGCACCGCCCCCCCGCTCCCGCACGCAGCCCGCCGGCGGCGATCCGGAGCCCTCCGCGCCACCGCACCCCCGCGCCGCACGCCCACCGCCGGGAGGATGGGCTGCGGGCGGCGGCGCGGCAGCCCCTGAGCTCCCCGAAGCCGCGGAAACAAAGGGAGCGAGCAGCGGCAGCACCGGGCCGGGGTGGATGCAAGCAACCATGAAAGGCTGGGTCTCCGCCTCCTCCGCTGCTGCCAGAGAGCTGCCGGCTGCCGCTGCTCGGAGGACTACCCTGTGAAGGGGGCGGAGGAGAGGCTGGCTGGGTTCGCCGTGCAAAGGTAGAAGGTGTAAGGGAGAGGCGGCAAGAAAATGTCTTCTTCGGTGGGGCCCCGCGGCCCTCGCCCGCCCACGGTGCCCCCCCCGATGCAGGAGCTGCCCGACCTGAGCCACCTGACAGAGGAGGAGAGGAACATCATCATGGCAGTGATGGACCGGCAGAAAGAGGAGGAAGAAAAAGAAGAGGCCATGCTCAAGTAAGCAGACGCTAGTCATTCATTCATTCAGGCACTCATTCATGCACCGATCGCCGGCGGGCGGAGCGGGCGCTGCCACAGCGGGAGCCGGCCGGTGCCCGGAGCCGGCCGGCTTCGCCCTGCGCGGCGGGGCTGGCGCCGCGGAGCCCCGGACCCGCTCCGCTCCCGGCCCGTAACTTCCTCCTCCCCCACCCCGGGCAGCTCCTCCCGAGGCAGCACCGCCGGGGGAGCCCGGCACGGCGGGACGGAGCGGGACGGCGGCCCTCCCCGCCCCGAGGGAGCCGGCGGCACAGGGCGGGCGGAAACCCCGACACGGGGGTGAGGGGCGAGGTGGGATTCCTTTGGGGTCCCCAAAACCCCGCCTCTGCCAGGAGGGGCCGCTGGGTGGGGTTTCCCTCCGTGCGGGAGCCTCCGCGGCGGCCGTGCTGCCCCCGCCTGGCTCGGCCCCCGCTGCCGCCCGCCGCGGGGCCGGGGCGGCTGCCCCCGCCCGGCACACCCCCGGCCCCCGCTCCGCCCGCCCGTGCCGCCGGCCCCGGCCCGCCCGCTGCCGGCTCCAGGGCGGGCAGCACCGCACTGTGGGGCAGCAGGGCGTCCGCAATTAGGAAATAGATGGAATTAGTCGCACTGCTCATTCCAGCGGGCGGGCGTGCGTGCGTGGTGGCGGGACGGCGGGGGAGTGGGTTTATCCCGCTGCCGGCGGCACGGGGAGGGGTGCGGGGAACGCGGGGTGTGGGTAGGTGCCATGTTTGGAAACCAGATCCTCACAGCCTCTTTTGAACCTTTTCCCTCACCCCCTCGTCCCTGCCAAGCATCGCATGTGATCACATTTTTTAGCCTCCTCCGTCAGTCGGAGGCTTCAAACGTAACGTTGCTGAATCGCCTACTGCGAGTGATGAGAATAAACAGATTGGAGTCGTGGCCTGTGGAGGAGAATCACGGTTCCTCCTCTTGTGACAGCCCGTCAGGCCTGCTCGCTCCGGGCGGGAGGTGGTGGGAGAGGTGACTGGAGCCTCTGACGCCACGCAGACCCTCCGTGCCACAGGAGGTGTATCCTTACCTCACTGCCGCCTGCTTGCGTGCACCTGTGCTCGGAAGGGATGCGCTGAAGGGGTGACGTGATCTGGGTGTTTCTTTGGGCTGCATCGGAAATACCCACTTGAGCCATGCGGGTGCCAGCGCGTCCCCACGGCTGGGGACCCAACCCCCGCAGGCTCCCGACTTCGGCTGTGCGTGGTGAAGCTGGGACAGCGTTTGAGTACAGGGTTGTCCCTGTCCCTTCCTATCCGTTCTTAACTCTGAATTTGTACAGGGGCTACTAGAGATCCGTGCAATGGTGGTGCTGAGGCCCAGCTGCCCGCGCTGTACTGGCTGGGAGCTGTCCGGGACTGTGGTGCTTGGATCTCAGTTCAAGACGAAGAGTTCAGTTTGCTGTTGCAGTTCATTGTGCTTGGGGTGTGGCTACCCTTGGAGGTGGGGTGATTGGAATGAGAAATGTTCTGTGGGAATGCATTGTGTTAGTCACTCTGGGGAAACGTGAGTGAAGGATCCCTCCTCAGTTTCTATTCATCGGAAAAAAATTAAATAAAGGAGCAGCTCAAAGGCTCTAAACTATATGTATCCTGTTCCTCGTCCTTCAGCACAGCTACTTCTCTACAAATATTTAGCTTTTATTCCGTGAAGAAGATTACTGGTTCTGTAATGATGTTGTAGAGGGATACTATAAATCTTACAGTGGCTTTCCATTTGTAGAGATGGTATTTTCTCAGCCCTATTCTTGTTAACACTGGGTAGAGAATAAATTTTCCTCCTTTTTAGCTCTCCCCTTTTTTTCTTTTTCTTTTTGTTTCTTCTTTTTCTTTTTTTTTTTTTTTTTCCTTTCCTTTTTTTTTCTTTTGCATTGATGTTTCTGAATTCTGGACTGATACTTCCTTTCCTATGAGATTATGGGAATCTTCAGCAGTTTCACTAAATGAACTTAGGACACTTAAAATAAAATTTTTAGAAGAGGGCAAAAATGGTGCTTTGTGAATTCAACTAGAAATTACTTTATATTATTTTCAAAGGTTTGTAATACCCAAATTTCAAAGTCTATTTCCCTACAAAAGTTATTTCAGATAATGAAAATGTGTACTCTCTATTGGCCTGAGAAATTGTGATTTTAAATAGATTTCTGTCTTTATTTAAAGAGCCAGAAATGAAGGGAAAATACATTGGAAAACTTATAAACCTGTATACTCACTTTAGCTATATTGTTAGTTTGTAAAAATCAAGTCACAGCATATATTTTTTAATGGGTTATGATTTAACTCTTAGAGAGTTTTACACACCTTTCCATGGAGTAACTCTTTTTAAGACTGGACTTTTGACAAGAATTTGCTTCCATAATTTTATAATGAGTTGTTACAAATATACAGTGGTGCTATCAGATGACACAGCTATATTATAAAAGTCAGATATCACCACCACCTCTTCCTATTATCTTTGTTAAAAGATTTTCTGATTATCCAAACGTCTCAACAAAACTGCCACCAGTTTTCATTAAAACCACCTGGTGGAGAAATGTTTCCATCTGTAACACCCACATGCAAATCTGTAATTTTCCCTGAAAGTGAAGCTGAGAATCAGTGCTGCAAACTAGGCTACCTTCAATCCTGAGCTGATCAGAGGCCGGATATGTGCTGTCTCATGAATCATAAGGGCTAAAAAGGGTGCAGCATTTCTCTCCTGTTCTGGATGTCCTGATAGCAATGAAAGTTTCTAAAACAGTACTTGTAATTTTCCTTTCCAGCGCTCCCCATAGCAGAAAACAATAGGAAGAAATAGTGGTTAAATGACTATATTCTTCATAGACTGGTTATAAAATTGTGGATCCAGGGGAATTTGAAGTGCTTGTGTGAGTGGACTATATGGATTTCAGGAGAAGTGGAAGCAGCTAGGGTGATCGGTAAAGAGGCTGTGTCCCTCTCCTTTGGGTCTGTTCCTCTCTGTCTTCCTGATCCCTGTTTCTGACTGAGCTAAAAGCCTCCTTGTAAGCCCTCTCTGCCAGTTCATGCTGACATCAGCGCGTACTGCAGCGTGCCAGCCGCGAGCAGGGCGCCCTACAGGGCGCAGGACTGTGGGCACTCAGCTGCTTTCACTGCCTGCACTGGAGCATTGCAAACACATCCTTCCCTCTGAGACCACCTGCTCACTCCTTTCCAGGAACTGCCCTGTCTGTCAGTTGCTGGTCTGCTGAGTTTCCTTCAGCTGTGTGGGGCTAACAGAGCTTGTCATCCCCCTAGGATAAAGATGTACATCTTATACTGGCCACAGTGGCTTGCTTTTTCTAGGCACACCTGGGCAGCGGCAGGGACCTTGTCTTCCCCGCACACTTCTGATACCAGATTTCACACTGCTGTGGGTGGTGTTTGTGGAAGGAGAACTCTTTGCTCTGTCCTATGACTTGTTGAATACCATGGAGTAATGTGTTGAGCATTTTGGGCTGTTGTGAGAGCTCCTTCTTTGGCATGATTTACAAACAGGTGTTCCTTGGCTTGAGGAACACTTTGCCATTAACTGATTGCCTTGAAATTGCCTTCACATTCAAAGGCAAGTCCTGCATTCCTTCTGTAACAGGGTCAGTGTCACCAGGTATTCCTGGGACCATGTCCATGCCTTCATTCAGTGAACTGTGATCCTAGTCTGTTGCATGGCACCAAAGACTCAAATCCACATAAACACTTGGATGCTTGCCAGGCACTAAGTAGAAACTGAAACTTCTTCAGTGCAGTCTCACAGTCTGGGAGTAGAAAGCAGTTCCTCCTCTATCTCATCTTGGAGCTTCAGGAGAGCATCACTTTCCTATTTGCCACACCTTTGAAAACTGCATGCAGAGCAGTCCATTGGGTAGATGGGGTTTTAACATGGTATGCTCAACTCTCATCCCCTCTTGTTTCCCTGTTTCACACTGACTTTGCTAGGTTTTGTGCATATCTCTGAAGACTATAGTCTCTATTATCTCTTTTAATGGTACTTGGCCTTAGACACCCAAGCTTTCGCTTTCTTTGTATGAATAAATGTTTGCATAGAACAGTAGTAAAATGGCCTCCTCTGCAGACTAATTCACATGGGAGGCATTTTTTCCTGTTTTACTTGGGAGATACTCCTGTAGCTGGAAGGGAGGAGTTTCATGTTGAGTGGCTGATGTCTATAGCCTGTAGTCCAGATATTGCCCAACAGGTGACTGATGTGACTAAAAAATTGTGAAGAAGCATGAAAGGGTAAGTTTTCAATGAGACTGAAGAGCAAAACAAACCATCATTTGCAAAAGTGTGTGTGTGTGTAAAATTGAAAGAAAAAAATGTTTGAAGATTTAGAGTGTACATTTAAGCACTAGATAGCCTGAGACAACTATTTTGCTTGTGGGTATAAGGTGCCTTGAACTGAAAAAAACACAGATATATACAGCAAACTGCAATCACAGAGAAATCACAGAATTATATATATGTGTGTACTTAAGATGAAGTTTGCTTATATGTAGTTGTGTGCCGTAGCTCATTGGGTTAGGCAAGTACTAAGTGGAAACTATGGCAGCTGAGAACACAGCTAGTTGAGTTCCAGTTCTGTTCAAATTTTGGCCAGTAATTAGGAAGTGGTTCCTAGTTACCGTGGCATTCATTTGCTGGAGCAAACTTAAGAGGGGATAAAAGCTCTTACTAAGCTTCTGATGGGACATAAGAAGGCTGTGAGATTGTTGTCTGATGCAGTAGTACGAAAATCAACTAAGACACAGGAGTTTAGTAGTTTTGTAGTTTTGTAACTCTAATTGAGTAGCTTCAGTAGAGGGGTAGCACATACTTGAAATCTTCCCATTTTAAAAGTTATCTCAGGATTTTTCATATCAGTTAATAATTAGGGGAAAATTGATGCTAATACCCTATTTTGACCACCTAGTGTGGTACACAAGCATAATTTTAATAAAAGTCAGATCTCTAGAATCAATCGGGATATTGCAGCTGCTC